CTTCAGAAATCATTCTAATATGCTGATTTGCTGCTCAAGAAACATTTCTGATTATTTGCAAAAAAAAATAAAAAATAAGACAGTAGTGCTGTTTCATATTTTTTAATACATTTTTGATACATTTTATTTTCAGGATTCTTTGATTATAAAGTTCAATAGAACATTATTTATTTGAAATTTTATATAACATTTTAAATCTTTACTGCCACTTTTGATCCACGCTGATTTTTAAAAAAAATAGCTCATAATAAAACATTATTTTTAAACAAGGTCTAGCCTTAATTAACAAACCAGAAGTAATTGATAGTACATTTTTCATCTAATCGTAGCTTGCTTTGTAAACTAGACTTTTGAATGTATCCATTAGTGTCCATTACGAAAGATGCTAATTTACTATGTGGTACACAGCTTGATAGCTACTGAAATGTTGAGTTTTCACTTTAAGCTACACAGAGTAGCTGCCACAGCAAATATAAAAATAAAGCAGGATTCAGGGAGTGTAATGTACCCATGCACAAACCTCACGTGTGATGCACCTTATGGTCTGCGACATGAACGCATGCACACACACACAATGACAGGGGTGTTTACCTTTCTTTTTTTCTTTAATTAAAGCATGCTGTAAGTGTGAAATTTACTCTCTCCTGCTCCATGGCTCTGAGTGGGCGACTCAATCAGATTTCTTTGTCTCTCACGTAATTATCACCCGCTATAATGAGAGCGCAGCACAAGTCCACAACCAGCAGGATGAAAGAGAAACTGTACAAATAAAAAAAGGAAAGAAAGAAAGAAAGAAAGAAAGAAAAACAAGTGGGCTGAAAGAAAATAAGTGCTGGTTATTAGCACCTTGAAGAAAGAAGCCTGCATGCAGAGTCCCGCGATAATTCACCATTCTGCCTCCCTGCTGTAGAAATGCAGAGAGCAGAGGAGACGGGAATATGAAAGAAACAATACACAGGGTCATAGATGGCACAATTTGGAGGAGGAGAGAGCCGGAGAGTCTTATGAGCAGCAGGAGTCTCGATTGAGACAGAACGGCCCTTTAGACTTCTGTAATAACGTGTAGATTCATCCTTATTAGTTTGTCTTGTACTGAAACTGTACAAATAAAAAAAGGAAAGAAAGAAAGAAAGAAAGAAAAACAAGTGGGCTGAAAGAAAAGAAGTGCTGGTTATTAGCACCTTGAAGAAAGAAGCCTGCATGCAGAGTCGCGTGATAATTCACCATTCTGCCTCCCTGCTGTAGAAATGCAGAGAGCAGAGGAGACAGGAATATGAAAGAAACAATACACAGGAGGAGAGAGCCGGAGAGTCTTATGAGCAGCAGGAGTCTCGATTGAGACAGAACGGCCCTTTAGACTTCTGTAATAACGTGTAGATTCATCCTTATTAGTTTGTCTTGTACTCTGTTATCAAATCGCTTCTGCTCTTTGTCTACATGAGCTACCAGCTGTGCCCTCTGGCTGAAAGACAGATAACTTACATTCTCCTTATGAAAGAAATATCACTCACATATATTTTTAGTGTTGGGAATGTTATTCTTAGGGACACCAGAAGATGAAGGTTCACTCTTGAAAATAAAGGCTCCCAAAGGGGTTTTGAAGAGATGAACAGTTCAGTGAACAGCTCCTAAAAGAACCTTAGTATGAAGAAACTTTTAACAATCCGAAGAACACTTTTCTAAGGCAAGCCGTTCTAACATTCAATTTATAAAACATACCATATCTATTTTCATGCTACTACACTCTAAAAACAACCAGTTCTGGGTTATTTGCCATCCCAGCGCTGGGTAAATATTGGACAGAACTCATGCTGGGTTATTTTGACCCAGCTGGTTGGGTTAAATGTTCTTACCCAACATGCTGGGTTGTTTCATTTAACTCAACTATTGTTTAAAATGACAATATTGGCTAAAACCAAATTAATATATTGGTCTAAATGAGTCTACTCCACCAAGCTACTGTCATAAGCATGAGCCCCGTCAGACTGGTCGTGGCGGCGGTGTTGCAACAATATATAGTGATATTCTCAATGTTACTCAGAAAACAGAATACAGGTTTAACTAATTCTAAATACTTCTGCTTAATGTTACACTGTCAGATATGCAAAAGAAATGTATCGTATCTCTTGCTCTGGCAACGGTGTATAGACCACCAGGGCCTTATACAGATTTCCTAAAAGAATTTGCAGATTTCCTCTCAGACCTATTGGTTACTGTTGATAAAGCGCTAATTGTCGGAGATTTTAACATTCACGTTGATAATACAAATGATGCATTAGGACTGCTCTGTGTACCCATAGATACACATGAACTAGTCGAAATGACTAGCAACATGGGCACTATCTTCTCTAATACATTAGAAGCTGTTGCCCCCATCAAATTGAAAAAGGTTAGAGAAAAACGTACTGCACCATGGTACAACAGTAATACCGATTCTCTCAAGAAAAAAACTCGTAGTCTTGAGCGCAAATGGAGAAAAACTAACTTGGAAATTTTTAGAATTGCGTGGAAAAACAGAATGTCCAGCTATAGACAGGCTCTAAAAGCTGCCAGGGCCGAGCATATCCACAAACTCATAGAAAATAACCAAAACAATCCAAGGTTTTTATTTAGCACAGTGGCTAGACTAACAAATAACCAGACGCCACCCGATCTAAATATTCCCTCACAGTTTAATAGTAATGACTTTATGAATTTCTTCACTGATTTGATTACGTCTTTAATTGATTACGTCTTTAATTGATTTTTCCGTACATTTCTGCCATATGTACATTAACTGACAGTCACCACTGATAAGCTACCACTAAATATTGTAGAAACTTAATTTGCTGTAAAATTGCTTTGCAACGATTTGTATCGTGAAAAGCGCGATACAAATAAAATTGAATTGAATTGAATTGAATATTGCTGACTTAAAATGGATTGGAAATTAAAAATCACATACAGAATTACTGTAACAGTAATTAACAGTTATAATCAAAAGGTGAACATTCATTACTAAGCAAGAACACTCATGGACAAAAATATAAGACAAATTTAATTTATTTAGATGAATATAGCATATTACAATATAACATACATTTAAACTTGTTTAAGATGCATTTTAGAAATAAAAAATGTAACATTTAAATTCAAGTGTATTCAACCATTCTCTGTTATCCCTTTTCACTGAAATAGTGCTGATTCTCATGCCGGTGTGTCACTAAAATCTGAGTCGGTGATGGGCTGCTGTTCGGCAGGGGAACTGCGAACCTCAGCATGCCGCCTCGCATTTCTCTCGTAACTGAAAGATGCCATGACTGACTCTGTAACCTGTCCATAAACAAACATTACTGAGATTAGAGAACATATTTTATCATCGAAATAGTTTAAATTCAGTATTATAGCGAATAAAACCAGTTTTTGTTATGCAAGGCAAAAGGCGTTTTCATCATGCGAAGCGACCGTTGCTGATGTGTTTAGCTGACTGACATCTTGTCCCTGTATGTTGCGTTGTGTAATATGAAATCATTTACAGCACAGTAAAGATGTTATAAAATAAAATGTATACAAACCTTTTGTAACAACGTTTGTAGGTCGGGAAGAAGGAGGTGGGAACCGGCGAACATTTGAACAAAACTTTAATAATAAAATAAACACAAAATAGTGCGACAGCACCTCGCGG